CCAACAGCGTTTATAGGCATACACACATACAGTGTTTCATCCAACAGTGTTTACAGACATACAGCAAACACAATTCAAGACATAATACTTACTGCAACTTACCTCTTACCCACACAACAATGAGTAACTAACTGTCAACCCATATAATACTAACACTCGACCTACTCTCATCGCATATAATTCACAAATGAAGTGAAATGAGAAGTGCATCTCCTTTTATACTCCAATGTAAGACCAACTCGCAATCTGATTGGTCACTCTTAATGGACCAATCACCGATCAGCTTATGCAATACTGACTGACTAACCTTAAACTTCTATGATCGTGAAACTCGACCTACTCTCAACGATAAAAATTCACAAATGAAGTGAAATGAGAAGTGCATCTCCTTTTATACTCCTATGTATGACGAGCTCGCAATCTAAATGGTCGCTCTTAGCGGACCAATCAACAATCAAGGGGTGTTACACGGGTGCTTAGGGACGGTCTATCGATTGATGGGTATAAGTATGGGTCCCCGTGTGTCCCTTCATAGAGCTATTGAAATCCGCACGCTGATTGGTCGGTTAAAATGGACCAATCAGATTTTCAGGGTGACTTTTAACTGTTATTGTAAGTGTTAGCTTTCTCTTTCATCCAAATCTCCTACCCACAAAATGTTAATAGGTCGGAAGGAATCAACAGAAAACTATAATCTGTAATAGCTGGGTTAGTAGAGTTAGTAGTCCTACCTTGTCTTGTAGGTTGAAGTAATATGGAAGGATATAAGTTCAGATGATGAATATGAATTTTATTCAAGGGAAACGTGTCACTTAGATAACACAAAATACACAACTGACTGCTGGTGCAGACTTGTTCATATATGAACGAGAGAGAGACAAAGAGAAAAAAGAAAAAAAGGAAAAAAAAAATAATATAAACGTATATGAATATATGAAATATCGAACCTCACATAGGTTACATATAGGAGAACGAAAAATAAAAGGTAAGGTTAGCGGCAACTATGTAATATCTGTTGACGCTAACAGTAAGGACTTTCACTTGTCATGTTGCGGTCAATCCTAGGGTTGTTGAGGGCGGTCTATCGATTGATGGGTATATGTGTGGGTCCCCGTGTATCCCTTCATAGAGATATTGAAATCTGCGCGCTGATTGGTCGGTTAAAATGGACCAATGAGATTTCAGGGAGTTCTTTTCAGCTCATTATTCCCTCGACTGAGGGATGGTCATATGAAAAAACCTAAAATGCGTTTGTCTGTCTGTTTGTGGCAGGTCAAAAAGCATTTTTTTTTTCGAAAAAATTTTTTGTTGTGGTCAAAAAACATTTTTTTCAAAAATATCGCTTGAGATGGTAACTTTTGTACTACGTAACTTTTGATATGAATCATACATGATTCTCAAATTGTCACCGTTAATAGGACACTGAAAGATGTATCTCTCCTGAAAACTTCAGCTATCCATACTGTTCCGTTTGCTCAGGACAGTCCCATGAAAAAACGGAATTTTGCTAAATTTGGAGAAATTCAGGACACGCTTTGTCCGAAGATATGTATTGTGTTAGGTCCTTTTTCCCCAGTTTCTTTATTCCTTCTTTCTTCACAAAAACAAACAACTGCATAATCAAAAAATAAAAAGCAGCAAAGAATGTTCTTTCTCTCTTTCTCTCTTCTTCCACCGGTTGGTTCCATCTCCTAACTATGATAGGGGGATAAAGATGGCCGTCTTATGTCAGGAGATGTCTCTACTGACATAACACTTCCCCCCTCCAAAAAGTTACAAATTAAAAGATAAGAAGCGATATTGAAACAATTCGAACACGATGAAAAGAAAAAATCTGAAATGAATATAGCAAAAGTAAAACGAAAAAAAATTAGATAATTCATATGTTGAATGCGAAACAGTGTGCGAAAAGAGGACAAATATAAAAGCCGATGAGAAAGGAATTAAAGTACAAGGGGAGAAAACAAACGTTAGGTACTAATTAGGAGTAAAAATGTTTATGATGCGATCGGAGTGAGTGGTAGATGTAATGTAACAGCAAGCTGTAAGAGCAGTATTTGAGAAACACAATTCAATTTTCAAAAAAAAAAGAAGATAGCTGAGGCATTGTTGAGGTGAAAGTTAAGAAAAGTTGAAATAAACAAGATAAAAAGATATTAATACTAAATAAATTGTGTGAGTATTTGATGTGAGCAGATGAATTTTGTTAGAAAAATTGTATCACGTCTGGAATGATTCACGGGAATATACACGTCTGATATTGTTTGAATGCACTTGAAATTGTTGTAAATGTTCATCTTCAACCATGAAAGATAGGGGTGAGAGAATTCGAACGATTCGAACCGGACCAGTGTATTGAGCGTTTAGTTTGTGTCATCCAACAAAAACTTTCGCCCACACAAGGTCACCTAGAGCGAAAGTCGGATGCGATCGATTTTTATCAAAACGAGTTTTTGATAGTTCTTGTTGATGTATTATATGTTGTTTTGCTTGTTTTAAAGCTGTATTTCTGTATTGCATCAGTTGCGTCCAATAATCATGTGGTTTGCTGAAAACGAAGGTAGTTGCATGAGGATTAAATGGATGACGTGGTCGTCGTCCGAATGCTAGTTGATATGGACTAAGTCCAGTTGAGCTATGTATGCCATTATTGTAAGCATAAACGATAGATGGTAAAAATGTGTCCCAATTGTTAAGATCAGTATTACAATATTTGGCGATTTGTGTTACGAATGTCGAATTCCATCGTTCCGTTTGCCCATTTGTTTGTGGATGATGTGGTGTCGAAAAAATCTGTTTACAACCAACTAAATGTGAAATAGCTTGTAAGAGTTCGTTCTTGAAGTGCGTGCCTTGATCAGTAATAATTGTGTCGGGTGAACCATGAATTAAGATAATTTCTTCCATTAATATACGAGCAGTATCATGAGCTGTATTTGTAGGTGATGCTTTAGCAAAAACATAACCAGATAA